GACCACGCTTCTCAATCTCTTCTTCTAAGCGTGACTTTTGCTCTAAAAAGTCAGGCTGGACAGAAAGCAACCGTCTTGCACAACAAGAATTTCTGAAGTGACTTTTACTCTGCTTATCTTTCTTGCTCTTACAATCATGTCTCAATCCACCTCGTGGCCACAGACCACATTCCTGCAATACTCGCTTGCATCCTTTAGGCTTACCTCTCCACTGTTCAGGAATAGAAAGATCGTCTGCATCAAAGCTCATTTGCTGAGTATGTAAGGTAACTCCATCTAGTTCGTAATACCATCCATTTCGCAAATGAGGTTGCTTCCCACCTGGATCCATATTCATATGAGATGCTCGAAGGGCGTCAGGAGCATCTGCAGTATGGGATGTGGCATGATCAAAAAGAAAGAGAGCTTGGGCATTGGAAAATGTCGCTTCAAATATCGGAATTGCAATGTTGAGAACATGGTCAACCAGATTATCCCTTTTCCACCAGGATCCTTTGCCAACTTTAATGTATTCAGTAGCTTGTCGTGGATTGATACGAAGGCCAGGAATTGGCTCCATATTTCGACTTGCGAGTATTGAAGGAAGCGGAATAGTAGATGGCATTTCAAGCCTATGGCAGGGAAGAATGAAATCAGACACCATGAGACCTTGTCCCTTTGATTTCTTTCTGATAAGATGCTTGTCTTTATGGACCCAACGATGATGCACTCCATCATTTGAGTGGAACGTGCATTCATCATGTGCACATGGAATTAGGAGTCGCTTCCCAGCCAGCAAGGGAGTTTGATTCAATCTTCCTCCAGAGGACCATTTAGGCATCCTCGGTTCCAGCTCCTTCCACCTCAGAAGAAAGCACTGCTGCCTATAGAAAACCACTTCTGGCTTCTCATGTCCATCAATATAGACCCCTTTCCTAACCTCCTTCCACTCAAAGCCTAACTTTTTCAACCACCGAATTCCAGTTGATGCAGTTACACTCATTCATCCCTTTGTATGCTTGTCAATTAAGGCTTGATACACGCAAGATACCCGAAGCTCTGCATCTTGTTGACTTGTACGTGTTGCCCAATACTCGGTCACGGCTTTCCCAAGCCCATATCCAGATATATCTAAACCATTATCAGTAAACCAAATACAACTCAATTATAGATATCTAAAGCACAAGATAGAAATACTTACTCTCCCCAGCACCATCAATGTATTCACGTACAGCAATCAATGTTCCTTCATCATTCAGCATACTTTGTGATTTTGCATGTTTGCCCCGCAAACTAGACACAATCGTCCTTGTCTTGATCCAACTCTTCTCCCAGCGAATTATATTGTGTGCTGTATGCTTGCCTCTTCCCCAGCCAGTAGCAGTATTTAAAGTGGCTCTCTTTCGTGGAAGATCAGGATACTTCAACTGCCAGTTCATGAACTCGAATACTTGAAAGTAATGGTCAAGATCGTGAGTACTACTTGAGCTTCGCCTTTTCTGATACAGTACTCTGCGTATATCTGCAACACCTATATATATTATCTTCTGTCAGCATATCTTTATTGATGTTTTAGATTTTACATCACTAATGTGGAATCATACCTTTTTTTAAAACAGTTGCTCTAATTTCTTTGCTGACCATTGGCCATTTCTCTTCTACTTCTCTCACCAGATCCTCCCAGTTATCTTCATCTCTTACCAAATCTAACTCCTCCAGCTCCCTCAATCGCGCTCTCTCTCTCTGAGCTCTGCGCCACAATGTGCTCTTTGAAGGCACTTTGCCTGTACTGGTATTGTTGCTCCGTGCCGAATTATGAGAATTTCTTCTCAAGGCTGTAGTGGGTTCATTCAATATAGTTGGCAGCTCTGACTCTGAAATGGCTGGATCAGGATCATCCTCTTCATCTCCGTACTTGGATTCTGCATGCAAGATATTTTGGTACTGAATTGGAGAGTCTGAAAGATTGCATAACTTTTTGGGACGGCCGCCTTGGGAGCCAGCAGCACGCAAGCGCTTTCGTTTATCGTTTGGACGGGGCATATCGCTATTGAGAGTGTGCTGTATTCGAAATTGGTTGTTTATTGTTGTGTCTCTATCCTCATTTTTTCTATTTTTTTTCTTTTTTTCCATGTCTTTGTCATCCACTTTTTCTACAGTATATTTCATCCTGCTACTATGTAGATTCTATCCCTAGTTTCACTCTCACCAAAATTTTCACTTTTTAAACTTGAACTACTTTCCCATAAGCTCCTCAATTTTAATAAAAAAACCATGGGGCTCTTCTCCTTGCAAATCGCTTTCTCTCCATGGTTTCTTTTAATTTTTTTAATTTTTTTTGAGTAACTAGTTCAAGATCGCGTTTGGCCTGTTTTGAGGTCCCGTTTTGGTTCACTTTGCACTATACCACTAGCTAGGTTGTGGTGGTGGTGGTTCACGGCTTGGGATACGATGTCCGGTAATATTATAAGTGTGCTAAAGCGAGGAAACGCCGGATGAGGTATCTGCGCCTGAAAGCAGGAGGAGGAGGTAATAAGCAAGAGGTTTGACTGCCGCTCTCGATCCCGGGCCGACGGGCTCCGCACCTGATCCTAATCGATGTCGGCATCCGAATAGGCGGTTGGGTATATCCCTTTGGACATATCACCTGCCTGTATCGAACATTTCTAAACCACCATGAGAACTGGAATACTGGGGAATCTATCGAGGACGTCGGGATTGCCTCTCCTACTATGATAAAGTTTGCTGTCTCAACCGAGGGTTAAAGGGAGGGTTCTTCCACCGTATTTTCCCACCGTGACGCAAGGGGGGAAATTCTGGACGTCCCGTGCCATTCTCGATTATTCCGGCTTTACAGCACCGGGTGCGCGGTGAGAGTATGTACCATATATATGTATCATACCGAAACATGAAAACGAAAAAAACACTGGATCCGTTGCACGATGTTCCTTCGGCCATAGAATAGAAGTGTCTTGGGACGAATGACAACCATGAAATCTCATCCATCCCATTGTTTGTACATACTTCATTCCTGCGCCGCTCTCTTGCCCGCTACTACAACTATCATAGCTAGGTCCCAAAGAGTACTAATATAGCGTTTTGATCTCCGTTTCTCGAAGCAAAGGCTTACGTGCATATTACCCGGGGGTGGGGCGGCCGTTACAAAACCAGGAGGAAAGAGAGGAAATGGCAAGAGGAGCAAATGCAGAGCAAACACTTTCTTTGATGTGGGGTGGTCTGGCGGGTGCAATCAGGAGCAGGTGGTTCGAAACGGCGGCATAAGGGGAATCTGTAAGTCTTTCTATTGCGATCAGGATGGGAAGGTATGGCCGATTGGTTGGATATATTTCGGTGGTTGTGCACTGACTGTCACAGGGGGAGGTGAGGAGAGGGGCTAATAATAGGATAGTCCGATCTATGGGAGTGAGGACAAGGCATGGGGGGATTGGTTGATTAACAGTCCGGTTTTCTCGTCGTCTTACTTTTTCCGTTCGCATTGTTCACCCCCTGGCTCATAAAGAACACCGCGCCTAAATGGACCATAGTTTTTTAATGGGAATGTGGATGAAGAAGTAGACCTCAATCCTATAAAGTCATACTGGATTGTAAGATCCGATCAATGAGCTACTCGTAAGGAGTAAATGTAACTACACCGTCCACCCCAAGAAATGGTAGCACGTCCCTGAAGGTCCTGCGGTCATTCCATCGACTTATTATAGGGACTCCACTCAGCATTCAGGCCTCCCTAACTGGGGGGTTAGTGGATATAGAACGTACTTGTGTGTGACCTTTACGCCACTATTAGGCGTGACCCGCGTTTGATAACGCGAATATATCGCTACGAGCAGCAGCTTCATTCCGAGGATTGAGACACTTCATGAATGATCACTGGTAAGCATGAGTTCTGCACGAATCGCCTGAACGATCTCTCGTAACGCATCGGACCAGATCGCGACGACGCCGAATGACACGCCAGAGGGAACCTACTGCCTTCCCACGCAATTTCTTCCGCCACTGCTAAAAGCCCAAAGCCTTGCTTCTATTGCACGGATCCTTTGCTTTTCTTTCGCAGACGCGTCGGGGGTTAATTCGCCTTCGACACCACCGTTGATCAACCACCTTTCCGGAAGGAAGCTATCGACGTCTCCAGGTTTATCTTTCTCCCCGGTTTCCACGGCGAAGACTTCGTCGCGATGAATACCGTAGGCGAAGGCCCCTATGGTAGTCCCTAGCATTCTGTGGTAAGCGTCAAGGAGGTCAGAATCCGGCACGAGAGTTACCTGCGGGAATGAATTTCCCTTCAACGATTCTCCCGCTCCTGTGACTACTAGTGCTATTGGTGGCTGCCGAGGGGGGGACAACTCGCGGAAGTCTAATAGGAACAGCTGTGTATATTCGTAATGTCTCCTTGAGAATAGCATCCAGATATGGCAGATTCAGAGCTTTTAGGATTGTTTCGTGAGGGAGAATTTGGACATCCATTGAATGGGGCCAGCCGGAACCGGATATCTCAGCCGACTTTGGGAAAGCATCGAGCAATTCGGAGTGAAGCCTCTTTTGAGCGTTCCTAGATTCTGGGAGTGACAGCTGGTAGATCAGGAATGATAGAGTGTCACCTTGTATTTGTCAGCGAGACGGCCGTATTCTCTCTACTGCTTGTACATTCTTGGGTATTCCCATATCTAGCTTGGGCAGAGCAAAAAATTCTACTCCTAGAACGGTAGTGATAGGAGCGGTTGGACGAAATCTCAACGTACTAGTTGTAGTCATGCCCGCCAGCATTTCGGCCTATGGGAACATGGTCAGTCGCCGGCATCAAATAAATCCAGCACACAATGTTATAATCGGGTCATCACCCTCGACCCAGTAGTCTAGGAGAGTGAGATAACTTGTAGAGTATCCAAATGATCCAGACTGCGGGGTATCGTTGCCTTCGGCGATAATCTGTCAAAAAGTGGAAAAAAAAAGAATCACCTACTATCAGCTCACTAACGGCCCCTCTATCATCCCAGACCCCTTCGGCACTGCCACCCTCTCGCACAAGCTTTGCAAGCCTTCCGGCGATAGTGTCCTCACGAGAATTTGACTTGGCATCCATAAATGCGTCCCAACTCCACTTCCGGATCCGAGCCACGATCTCCCGATCCTTTACCTCTCCCCCCCACACCCAGCTCCACGCCTTCCTCCTGTAGAATGCAAGCCACTCAAGTACATTCGTAATAAATGGGAGCTCAAGGAGCATCCAAGTCGGAACTCTTCCTGTACGGTCATAATGCCCGAGGACAATCTCACGATGCGCTTCATTCCCAGCGAGAGTTTTCATAGAAGCCTCCGACCCAAATATCTTCCCGGTGACCACGTCCGTCGCGTAAAATGTGTTCGCATTATAGATGTCAACCCTCCTGTCGCTTTCGACAAAATTCAAGTAATCCTTGACAGCCTGGAGCACCTTCCCAGTTGCTACTTCATCTTTGAGCACAAAAGACAGCGAATAGCTTTGTGACACGGCCTTTCGCCGCCACCCGTGCTCTTCACGGGTGCAGCTGGAAAACGCGCTCGGGGCTCCAAAGTGTCCGAACATGGAGTACAGGGGGGCGTATTTGGCGTAATGAGGGGAAGAGTAAACCTCTCTGACCGCTTCTGGGGAAAGAACCGAGACTTCGGTGGGTGATACCCGAACTATTGGCCCGTACCGTCTGTGCAATGAATAGGTTCCGATGGTCCTTTGGTTGAGCGCCGAAAGGAAGTTTATGTAGTGTGGGGTTATTGCCGTCAGCAGTGGCCCGGGGATATGCGATAGTGGGGAGAAGAAGATTGCCGAAATAAGCTTCCAAACGATGAGAACCCCAAAGGCGCAAATCGCTGCGGTGAGGTATCCTGTATTGGATATTCCATTGAGAAAATGTTTGCTGTCAATCATTATGATGGAGAAGCTGGGGAGGGCAACGGATGGCCTGTCGTGTGTCTGGATTGACTCGGTCCTTTTAAGGTCTGCAATACCGTACCTACTCAAGCTTTTGCAAATGGGGCCGGTGAGTTATCGAGGCTGACATCGAACACCGGTAAGAGAGAGTTGTCTTAGGACGTCCAGATTTCCATTCTAAGGAAGGCGTTGTTTTGCTTTGGTGGCATTTTCTCCCGTCCCCCTCGAAATAGGAAACTCAGACATCCTAAGACAGTTCTCCCTTGTTCGAGATAATGCGGCAGCAAGGTGTGCTGCCGGCAACCACATCCGAAAGCTGGGGTGGTTGGTTGTTGGTTGTCATGGTGTGGAGGGGCTACTAGTATAGTTTTGATTGCTTTTTGTTATGTTTAGTAGGGATTTTCACCATAAGAAAATTCCTGTTTGGAGATGTCTTGGCAGGCCGGATTTTCTGTATGTAGGCTAGCTCTTTCCCTTCTTGGTTAGACATGAATGACAATCACCATCACCACCCACCACACCAATAAATACTGTTTTCCATCTACGAGTACTCGAGTGCAGTATCTTTGGTCCTGCTTTATCACCTTTTACCTCTCCGCTATCAGTCATATTTCACGAACCTCAATCCCCTCTATTTTTACTGCTCTTATCCTACGGTTTTACAAGGCAGTTATTCAGCCATCGCAGCAACCAACATTCCACACGCGCAGCCTAGCCGAAAACGCCATCCCGTCCCAGAAGTCAACAGAGACACTTCCACACCGGTACTCGTACAGATACGGCGCAATTCCCTTGAAAGTTGAGCCCTGCAGCCTTCACCGGGCGCACGACGGAACTGAGCGGGTGACGGATGGAGGTATTCTGCGGGCGAAAGTGAATTCGGCAAAGTGGGGCAACGAAAGAGTGACTGGTTGGGGAATCCCTATTTGCCCCGGTTGAGACAATAATGGAATATCATACCTGCAGGGAGTTCACTTGAATCGATGCAAGCCGTGCTAAGAAGCGGCCAACGCAGTGGTGCATTATCGTTGGAGTTGCCTCTCCTAGTAACGTCTCTTGTCACACCGGAGGCCTAACGGGCCCGTCCGCTACTGGCATGATCCCCCCCCTTCAATCCAAAGGGGGAAGGGAAATTCCCTACGAGATGTCATACTCTGTCGGTAGGGCAACAAATTTGAAAGAAATACCCTAACCCTTCCAGTATGAAAAGGTTGAGCGAGAAAGACATGGTAAATTATCCTCTATCAACAATTTATCTCTCCCGAAAAACACAAACCACAGCAATTTAAGAAATTTTGACCGTCCATCGCACCGGCCCATTTTTACGCCATCAGTTAGGCCCGATTTCCCGCTTTTTATTAATTCATAATTCACTCCCCGAACCCTTTTGGTAGTTTTAGGGCGCTTGGTCATCGCTGATGTATTGCTCCCCTGCCTGCCTCTATGGATCGCTGAGTGATCTTTGTGGCGGAGGGGGAGGGCACGTGAGGTTTCCAAAACCCAAAGCACCTGGCCCGCTGGGGCTTTTGTCGGGGAAGGACACAAGTCACCCCCGTAGACCTCATGCGCCTTGAATGCGCCCGTAATTAACCGCACATTTGGCGTGCGCAGCTACGCTCGATCACTCAGGGGATTACTGAGGCTGAACGCTGGTGCACAAGGTATCAATTTTAATTATGTGTTTATTTCACTTTCAAACGCCCTTTTTGGCCGTGGTTTCAATGGTCATCTATTGAGAAGCTGACTGCTCAGGCTGATATCAGTACAGCTGCACCACCATGTTTGGCTAATCATGCTGATGTGAATTGCAATAGGATTAGAAGACATCGTCGCAAGCCCCGGTTTTCGTTCACTTTTCTCTGTCCTCCGGCAATATTCCAAGCCTATAGTCTACAATGATACCACAACTCTGGTATCGCCTACAAGAGGGGCGCGCCCAACAGCCCAACATGGCTTGTTCCGGGGTCGGACGGTTAAAAAAAACAGAAGACACATAATCCCGCGGAATCCAAACTAACCTTTCACAGTCTCTGACTTCCTGCTTATCTGCCGGTAGGGCGGGGCGGGCTGCATGATCACAGATGACGGTGCTGCTGCGGGAGCTGCCCGGTGTCCCGTTTCCGGATAGGGGCCGCCCAGCGGGAAGTGCCACCAGAAGGCAACAAACTCCAATTACAATCATGGGCCACCCCCAGCAGTATCCTTGCCTATCTGCCTACTTCAACTCTTCTGCTCTCCAATAGAGCCCCCACCTACACGATCACACCCTCTCACTCGCTGATATGGCAATATGTGCCCCACATCGCGCGAAGGCTTAATATAATAGTGCCGCCGTGGAGCATAACAACTATGCAAGAAACGCTTGGTAGAAGCCGCTCTTTCCGTTGGCGGTGTACGTTTCTTTCTCCGTGCGCTTGGCCCGCATGGATTCCCCTGTTATGCGGAGGGGGAATTCTCCGCACGATATGCGGGAGGGGAAAAAATGAAAGAGAGCAGAACGAGTTGAGATTGAGTGAGGGAAGTATGGGTTCCGTACTCAGTGGGCTTGCTATGCGCCCCAAACACGTTTTTCCCTTGGGAGGTGGTGGGGGAATGAGTATTAGTAGCGAGTTATCTAATCCGATCCTATCATAATCTAATTCCATCCTATATTAAATGCCATTACTCGAACGGTAACTTGTAGGTTTATGCCTGCCGAGAAGAAACAAATGAGCCAAGATAGCGATGTGAGATCATGAAATCAGGATATAATAATAATAATCGGAACGTGAATCAAAGGAATTAAACGAGAACAGCAAAAAACACCAGGGTCGAGCAGGTCCCACGGAATAAATGGGGGAATTGAATAAAGAAAAAATTGAAGAGGAAAAATGGGTACTCGGTAATAACTACGGCTCCCGTCCGAAGTGCTCGTCGTCATATCGTGGTCTTTTTTTTTTTTTTTTTGCGAGGCGGGGGGATATGTTCGAGGGATTCAAGCGGTCATCTCGGAGAGTATGTTATTGCTCTTTGGAATTGTCATTAATGTACAGTACTATGTATGAGTCGGGGGTGATCCGCACGGGAGTGGAATCGGACAAACTGAAAGCTGGGGAAGCGAGTTCTCTCGTCATTGGCCTTTGGGGTTTTTGGAACTGACACCGAACAGTGCCATGATAGAACCAGCTTCACTATATATACCCTTGATCCCATTCCGAGATGCCCTCCACCGCGGTGTGCTCCGCTCTCGAGGCCTGATGAGCATGGATCGAGTCCCTCTCGTTTGTGGAGTATCGTAGCTTGGATGTACACTCGTATTAATTCAAAACCCCCCCGCCGTAGCAGTTTCCAGCTCCTTAGTGGCGAGAGGCACAGTCGGGAGAGGGCTCTTGAAGCAGGGAATCTAAGCGGGTAGGGGACAAGTCCTTGATATGACACTCTAAAAAACCGAGGGATGAGATTTTGGTGTTACTCGTGCCAAGGTTGCAGCGCTAGGGCGCTGCAACCCCCGAAACTTCGCAGGCTCAGCTTTCGGGGGCACTCATCCTGAGTGCCCGACAGCTCAATGACAGATTGCAGCTCAACGATAGATTGTGGCTCAATACAATTTTGTGGCTCAACAACACATTGTGGCTCAACATGAGTTTCTAGCTCCATACAATTTTGTGACTCAAAGACGTTCAAGGCCCAATGACAGTCTATAACTCAATGACAGTCAATAACTCAATGATAGTCTATAGCTCAATGACAGTCTATAGCTTAATATAATCTTGTAATTTACTGGCAATACTATTACTTCAAAACATTATAAATGTTCTGAGTATAAGATATTTAAATAGTTCCTTGTAGTAACGCTTTGAAAATCAAACTCCATCATCCTGACCTCAAACTCCTTTTACAAATCAATCGGTTATGTCTACTTCATCTGCTCTCATTCCTCCAAGTCAACGTGTGGAGCCATATCATGATATTGAAGTTCGAATCCAGGCTACAATTACCTTCCTCACTGAGACTGGAGAAGATACACCCAATATTGCTACACTAGCTCGCAGATATGAAGTTCCGGAGCAGCGATTACGCAAACAGTGGCAAGGTCAACAATCTAGACACGAACGACCAGCAGCCAATCGAAAACTCACCGAGGATCAAGAACTGGCTGTTTGCCAATATCTAGATCGTTTGGATAATATTGGTACCAGTGCACCGTTACCAATGGTCACTGGATGTGCAAATATGATTTTACGAAATGCACATACTGGACTACTTCCTTCACCGACTGTGAGTGAATATTGGTCAAGGCGATTTCTTAAACGTTATCCCAATTACTTTATTCGAAAGCAACGCACCATTGACATCGATCAAAAAAGTGCACACCATCCCGATAATATTCGTGAATGGTTTGACAAATACAATACTATATGTCAAAAGTACGCGATACACGATTGCAATAAATACAACTTTGATGAAACAGGTTTCCGTATCGGGATTGGTAGAGACCAATGGATTATTACTAGAGATCCAAGTAGACAGGCATATATGGGCAGTTCAACCAATCGTGAGCTGGTTTCTGTTTGCGAAACGATTAGTGCTGCTGGATTTGCTTTACCACCTATGATTATTGTTCCTGGTGTTATTCATCAGGAACCATGGTACACAACAACCTCTATACCTGATGAGTACCTTGTTGGCATGTCAGATACTGGATACAATAACGATCATCTCACCATGGACTGGGTACACCACTTCGAAAAATTCTCCTCACAACACTAAGTGGACACCTACCGACTCCTCATTCTCGATGGGTTTGGCTCCCATTGTACCAAGGAGTTCCTTGATTACTGCGATCAGTATCAAATCATTGTTTTTTGTCTCCCGCCACACACCAGCCATCTTCTGCAACCTTTGGATGTGGTTGTATTTCAGCCATACAAGCATTACCATGCTGAATCAGTTGAAGCAGCTACGCGTACTGGCTGTGGAGATTTTGACAAATATGAATTTTTGGACAAAATTCACTCGATCTGGGAGCAAACCTTTAAGTCATCAACTATCATATCAGCATTTCGTGCAACAGGTCTTGTTCCCTACAATCCTGAGGTTGTAATTTCCAAGTTACGCGAAGCGGCCATTCCTGCTGTTCTACTAGTTACTGAACCGTCTGAATCCTCCACAACTATACCTCTTTCGATTACTTCTCTCAAGAGAGCAGGAGATGAATTACAACAAGAGGCTGGTGATTTATCACCAACCTTTTGGAACAAATTGAAGAGAGTACTACAAGGTGGATTAGCTCAAGCCCAATCGGGAGCTTTAGCAATGGACCATTTAGAACATACACGGGCAGCTGAGCAGGCTAGAAATGCCAGACGCTGGGCACAGAATCGGAGACAGATCCAAAAAGGTGGAGTCATGTATGCTTCACAAGTACGACAAATGGTTAAAAGGAGGGAGGATGCAGAGGTTGAGAAGGCAGAAATGCAATTACGCAGAGCACAGAATGCTAAAAGACGAGCTCAGCAAGCTGAGCATAGACTATTTCAAAATGAGTTAAAGGTACAGGTAAAGCAAAGAAATCTGATGTGTACTTGTAAAAAAAAAATATCGAAGATGATAGTTATGGGTATTAAACGCCCAGTGAAACTGGGGAAAATCAATGTAATATAAAATATTAACTTACCTTCAAGATAGGTATAGCTTTACTCTGATGTTATTTGTGGAATAAAAATTAACTTTAAGTCACAAAATTGTATGGAGCTGCAAACTCATGTTGAGCCACAATGTGTTGTTGAGCCACAAAATTGTATTGAGCCACAATCTATCGTTGAGCTGCAATCTTTCATTGAGCTGTCGGGCACTCAGGATGAGTGCCCCCGAAAGCTGAGCCTGCGAAGTTTCGGGGGTTGCAGCGCCCTAGCGCTGCAACCTTGGCACAAGTAGTGCTGGCGAAAAGATTGCGGTCCGCCGGGATCCTCCTCCAGAGTAAAATCTACTACTGTAAGTGAACTATTGGCTTCACCACATCTACCAAGACGAACTTAAAGCTAGCATCCTAGCGAGGCACTCGAGTACTATTGAAAGGATATTATCCTGGACAAGCTCCATCAATTCCTACTGGAGCATCAGTGCATAGCAACCCATCCCCGCTCTGCACTCACTCCCTTGCGAGATCCATATCAGCCCCTCACTCTCGAGTTCCCCTCTGCCTCCACTCTGCCGCCCCCCCCCCCCCCCCCCATAATCCTCTCCAAAGCCGTAGCCTGTGCAATACCTACCCACCGACCCACCCGGCCAGTGGTCATCCTCCCCAGTGTTCTCCGGCCAAGATTGCATTCGGGTAGCAAATAGAAATTGGTAGACTGGTAAACGACTCCATAACAAATACCTAACCGTGCCAAAGTCCCCGCCGATTGTGTAATAGTAAAATGTTGCAAATCTTGCAGCACATCTACAACATGCCCAACAGCTCAACATCAGATTTGGCTCAATGTCAGATTTCACAAACACCTCATACCTTAATCGCATATCTACCACCAGTAAAGCCCTGATATGTCTTCAAACTATAACACTATAGAAGTTCAGATAGTGGAGGCATGAGAGAGGTTATTGGAAAGTGAAAAACTAAATATTGTTATGGTTGCATGTGAGTTTCATATTTCAGAGAGTCATCCCCATAGGAGATAGAGAGAATGTCAAGCTTAAGGGAAGAGGCTAGCAGTCAACAGGAAGCTTACTAAAAGTAAAGGACTTATTGTCTACAAGTATGTAAAGAGATTAGATACAATTGGAATGTCCACATAGCTCCCAATGACTGCCAGTTTTGCAAACAATATTCTCAAGCAGAATTACATGACTGATATAGCATCAGACCTTCTACCCACAGTCAATTCTGTGTGCAGTAAGCAGTTTCTCAAACGATACCCAGAATTCAATGTCTAGAAGCAGAAGACAATTGATAAGGACTATAAGAATGCCTATAATCCTGATAATCTCTATGACCACTTTGAAAGGTGTTACCAGTTATGCAAGGAGAAAGGAATTCAAGAGAAGACAGTTATAATTTTGACAAAACAGGATTTTGTATTAGAATTGGGAAAGATCAGTACCAGTAGATTGTTATACTGGATTTAATACACTGGCATCCATCATATATCAGTGGTTTAACAAATTGGAAATTAGTAATTGTGTACAAGATGATTAGTAGTGATAGTCATATCTGCAAATGCTAATCCTCCTAAAGACCTTGTATTATCGAGAAGACTGGGAAGGCCGAGGGTGTGGCAGAGGAGACAGTGGGGCAGGCAGAGTGGTAGCTGAAAAGTGCAAGAAAAGAGGTAATTGAAAACCACAAGAAATCCTGGAAACCAATGTTACAAGAGTTAAAGAAGTTTGTAGAGGAGTCGAATGCATCTCAGAGAGTTAGGAATACTCATGGTTGAGAAATTGTACTTTAGTTTTCTGATATTCATAAAATCTGATATTGAGTGGAATCTGTCATTGAGCTGTCAGGCATGTCACAAATGTACTTCAAGATTTGCAACAGTTCACTGTTGCACAATCGGTAGGAACCTCGGCACGGTTATACTTTCATGGTATCATACCCGGTTTTACACGAGTCACCGTTACACCCCTTACCTACCAAAATTCGGTGATCGTGGCTGTGGCAAGGGACAATCTTGGCGATCTCCATGATGTCCCAAAAAAAAAAATTCAGGGAAACTCTTGACTATTTATGTTGCGAAGATATGGGCTATCCCGTAATTTTGTCGGGCATGTCCCAGCGAGGCTAGAACTACTACCTTTGCAAGGCAGTACCTAACCAGTCGTAGATATCAAAGTCTAGTGGAAATGTCCATGAACCAATGAGCTTCATGAAATTCCATCCATTCTTATCGCTTTGTTCTTCCTTCCTTCCTTCCTTCCTTCCCCGCTCTTAGCTAGACCAGTTGCTATCGATATGACCAGGTATCTCTTGGGGGGGGGGGTACTAATTCCTGCCATATTTTAAATCTCTATTTCTCAAAAATTTGGTACTCGAGTTCAATGCGTATATTAACCGGGAGTGGATGGGCTGTCGCTATAGAAAAAATGGAAAAGAAAGTAAGGGGAAGGGAAGGGAAGGTAATGGTAATGAGGAGGGAACTTGGCTGCTGAGGTACGAATGAGCTGGTAGCAACTTCCCTTTCCCGCCCCTGGCTCATCTTCACCCGGGCGGCGCGGCGGGCACGGCTCCTGTGCCGGTGGTTCTAAAGGGCTGAATAATGATAATCTAGGAGTATCTCCATTGTGATCGAGATGAGAGGGTCTGACCGCTTGGTTGGAATTACATGGCTGCGCATGGTAGCTATAGGAGGAGTTGGAGGGAGGGAGGGGTAAGAATAGTATAGGCTAGCTTATGGAAGTGAGGACGGGGCACGGAGAACTAATTGGTTAATCAACTAGCCAGGGCCTCAGATGTGGAGATAATCCTACAGGCCGGTTTTTTTGTTCGACTTGCTTCTTCCGTTTCCCTCTTTCACCCTTGGTCAACGGGGGACATCACGTCTGAATGGATTATCGTTTGTCAAGGAGAATTCATATGAAAAAGATAGATCTCAGTACATCAAAGTCATTCCAGACGGTAAGACGTGATTATTAAATTACTCGTAAGGAGTAAATGTGACCACGCCGTCCACCCCACTGAATGGTAGCACATCCCTGAATGTCCTACGCTGATGCCATCGGCTTAACACAGTAGACCTCTCTTAGCATTCAGACTTTCCTAATCGAGGGGTTAACCAATGTAGGACATACTTGTGTGTGATCTTTACGCCACTGTTGGGCGTGACCTGCGTTTGATAACGCGAATATATTGTCGAGAGCAGCAACTTCATTTCGAGGATAGAGAGGCTTCACCGATGATCACTCGTAAGCATGAGTTTCGAATCGAATCGCCAGAGCGATCTCCGATTACCTCGGACTGGAGCGTTATAACGCCGAATGACGGAACAAGGGGGGGCCTACTGTCTTCCCACACAATTTCTTGCGCCACTACCAAAAGCCCAAAGTCTCGCTTCCATCGTCCGGATTCTTTGCTTTTCTTGTTCCATCTCATCGGGGGTCAGTTTATCTTCGAGACCTCCGTTGATCAGCCATCTTTCCGGGAGGAAGTTATCGACGTCTCCAAGATTATCTTTCCTCCCGGTTTCCACGGCAAAGACCTCGTCGCGGTGGATACCGTAGGCAAACGTCCCTATGGTGGTCCCTAGGATTTCGCGGTGAGCGTTAGAAAATGGCCATCGGGTAGGTGCCTTACCAGCCGGAATGAATTTCCCTTCAATAATTCTCCCGTTTCTATGGCCACTAACCCTATCGGTGGTCGCGGAGGGGGGGACAACTCGCGGCAGTGTAATAGGGATGGCTGTGTACACTCGTAATGTCTCCTTGAGAACCGCCTCTAGATATGGCAGATTCAGAACTTTTAGAATGGTTTCGTGAGGGAGACTTTGGATATCCATTGAATGGGGCCAACTGGAACCGGATATCTCGGCCGGCTTAGGGAAAGCATCGAGCAATTCGGAGTGAAGCCTCTTTTGAACGTTCCTAGATTCTGGGAGTGACAGCTGGTACATCAGGAATGATAAAGTGTCACCTTGTACTTGTCAGCGATACCGATGCATTCTCTACTGCCTGTCCATGTCCGGTAGATATCTCCACATCTAGAATAGGCGTGGCAAGGTATCCTACTACCAGAGCTATGGCGATGACTGGGAAAAACATAAAACCTTCTCAACATACCAGTCGTATCCATACCCGCCAGCATTTGGTCCTGTAAAAACACCATCAGTCGCCAGCGTCAATTGGAATAAACAAAGGGTTTAGTCGGGAGCCATCCCAGGCCTCGCAATCTAGGATCACAAGGCAACATCAGAGCACCTAAATGTAAGTCTTATCGCCGATATTACTCCGGATTTTCGGACTAGGGGATTCCGTTGCTTCCGGTGATAATTTTTCGGGGGACGGGATGGAAAACAATAAATCACCTACCATTGCCTCGCTGGCGACGCCTCTATCGTCCCAGACTCCTTCAGCGCCACCGCCATCTTCCGCAAGCCTCGCAAGCCTCCCGGCGAGGGTACCCTCGCGAGAATTTGACTTGACATCCATATATGCGTCCCAACCCCACCTCTGGATCCGACTCACCATCTCCCAATCCTCAATCTTTTCTCCGCACACCAAACTCCACACCTTCCCCGCATAGAACGCAAACCACTCGAATACATTCATCACCAATGGGAATTCAATGTACATCCACACCTGAGTTCTTCTGGTGCGGGCATAATGACCGAGAACAATGTCGCGATGTGCTTCATTTCCAGCGAGAGTCTTCATAGAAGCCTCCAGCCCAAATATCTTCCCGGTGACCACGTCCGTCGCGTAAAATGTGTTCGCGTTATAGATGTCAACCCTCCTGTCGCTTTCCACGAAACTCAAGTAATCCTTGACAGCCTGGAGCACCTTCCCAGTTGCTACTTCATCTTTGAGCACAAAAGACAGCGAATAGGCTTCCGACACGGCCTTTCTCCGCCATCCATGCTCTTCACGGGTGCAGCTGGTGAACGCGGTCTGGGCCCCAAAGTGCGTGAAGATGGAGTACAGGGGGGCGTACTTGGCGTAATGAGGGGAAGAGTAAACCTCTTTGATCGCTTGCGGGGAAAGAACCGAGACTTCGGTGGGTGATACCCGAACTATCGGCCCGTACCGTCTGTGCAGCGAATAGGTTCCGACAGTCCTTCTGTTGAGCGCCGAAAGGAAGTTTATGTAGTGCGGGGTTATTGCCGTCACCAGTGGCCCGGGAACATGCGATAGCGGGGAGAAGAAGATTGCCGAAACAAGCTTCCAAGCGATGAGGGCCCCGAAGGCGCAAATCACCGCGGTGAGGTATTCCGTACTGGATATTCCGGTGGGAAAATATTCGCCGTCAATCATCATGGTGGATGGGGCAAGGAGGGGGACATTTGATGGTTTGTTGTGTGTATGGGCCGACTTGGTCTTTTTAAGGTTTGCTGGGATGTCAATTCCCAGGCTATCGTACGAGTAAGCCAATGCTCTGGTAACTCATCGAGGCTGACATTTTTGCCAGGGTGCATTGCCTATCTTGTTATCGTACAACCGAGGCCTGAGACGATAAGACCTCGTGACACAAGGCTGGGAGCAATACTACGGGCGCAAGAACGGTAGAACTTGTATCATACTATCCACCACAAGCGCTCGCCTCTGTGGTATCCTGTCGGTGAAGGGCCTCTGGTTTCGGACCATTTAATTGGAGCAGTTTCGTGTGTTTATGGAGTATCTCTTTGTGAGTTTCTAAATAGATGCCGGCAGTCAAGATAACGAATGGCCCGCCAGAAGACTATCATAAACCTCGGACAAACTATGACGCTGAGGGAAACTCTTACCGACTTTTTTCTTCTACGAGTACCGTACTCGTAGTCTAACGCCTCACAGGAGACAATGCTGCTTGCCTCTTCCGTCGGGACTTGGGACCTCCGTCCCCCGAGCCAAGAAATACGCCTACCGTTATTTATCCATGGCGGGTTAACTAAGCCGGGTCGGGTGAACGAAAGGAAGCGTTGGGCTTTAGACTATGCCCGTCCGGTGCCGCTACCGCATTCTCTGATGCTTGGAGTGTGGGGACTCCTGAAATCTGGCCATCAGCCCATCACGTCATAGGTTTGGCTTAACAGGAGTGAGCCGATCCCATTTTGTCTAGAAAGCTTTAGCCCTTCTCAGGACTAGCGGGTCCCGAAAGTGTTTATCATCCCTTACCTCGTAATCACGGCAGGCGCTATTCGACCGCTTACCGGAGATGGTTACTTGTACCAACAGTAGTGGTACAATAGGCAGACCTTCAGCCCTTGTCCAGACTACTAAGTACTAGCCGACTAGGGCAATTGTGATTAAATGTGCACAGAGGATGATGCTCCGATCATGACCATGCTGAGTGTTACAAGTGCTCGGTTGGTGCATTCTCAGCCCAACACCCCCTTAAAGTACCTATTGGCATGGCCATGACAGAAACGAGATTTTCTGAGGACTCTTCAGGACAGCCCACCATCCACCGGAAAAACACGCACCCATGTCGGCCAAGACCTACCAGCGCTACGGTGCCTTGAAATCCGGCAACAAGGTAAGGGATAGTCTGCGATCGCGCTGTGCAGTTTTGAACTTGATATCATACCACATTCTGACGCCGTCACCGTCACTCACTCGATTCATACTGTTGTGTGGAACGAGTATGTTGGTATCATTCTTGTATATGTGATGGTTGGAATTGGTATGGGAAATGCTGTTGTTGTGAAGGGCGGAATTTGAAGAATGTTAATCGGCATTCAAGGCAGGAATGGGAATGGGAGGCTGGATTCTTGCAATCCGGAAGGCTGTGCTGGACTAGGAGATTTGTATTTATTGTCTGTTATGGCTGTCGCTCTAAGCAGTAGTGAATCGAGTTGATATAAGGGTTCATTCTGGTTTTAACATACTTTCACGATGTCGAATACGGTACCTGAAACACCTAATACTGGCTCGCCACAGCCACAAAAATAACCCGAAACAGAAGCAGCCGTGAACAAGCCTCTGAATCCTGGCTCGATCTTGAAACGAAAACCATCTCTCATGCTGCCTCTCGCTTCATCCCTATAAATCCCACGGGGCCGGTGTCCCCCCGTTACTTACCCAGAGAACAGAAAAACAATCACACGTGGCACCCGACAGTAAGCTCCTTCTGCGAAAGGAGACAAAAAACAAAAACAAAAGAAGCTATCGCGATAGGGGGTAAAAAAAAAAGATAGGGGGAAGTATGTTACCCGAAAAATCCAAAAAGTCGTTAACTAGGGCAAGGATCTGTTTGGCATTTCTGCGCATGATGGAGCCAAGACCTGCTATTCCGCCGCCTGATTCCCGTGGGAGAACGCATTGGCCTACCGAGAGGCAGGTAAAGGGGAACCAGTTTACCGGTGTTTTCGACCGCCTGGGTACGTACAGCTTATTGGGGAAGGAGCGGGAGAACGAGGGATACCATTTGAAGAGGAGAAGGCTTGCTTAGCCGGATAGATATATGGGTCTTTCTTTGTTTTTCCTCTTCTTACTTTTTTTTTTTTGGGAGATGGACGACCCACTGCAATTGGTGGAGGTGGTAATGGTTTCATGATTGGCGCGATGGGAGGGGCTGAGTGCGAGCCGGGGCGAGGCCTAAGCAGTGGTATGAGACGAGAATTAGAGCATTTGTATGACAATATTGAATAGAAGCTCGTAATCTCCTCCTATTCAACCACCTTCTTTATTATCTGAACTTCTAACCCTTTCCTTACTACTCCGTCAGTGCCTGATTGTCCGGCTTCAGCCACGGATACCAGCATGCACTACGGTATTCTCCAAACGCCGCCACATCTTCTACGATAATATCTTCACTACCCCCCGGGCCATCTGTAGAGTCTCCAAACAAGAAGAGAAAAAAAGGAAAAGAATCCAAAGCAGGCACCGACCCCAAGCGCAACTCCAGACCAGCTCCCCAATCACGTTTTCGCCCAGAGAATGAGGTTAGTCTTGAATCGCAATTTCATGTCATAACCGCGTAGTGCGTAATTACCGCAAATTTAATGCAATGCTTGTGGCGGTGCGAGAGTGCTTAAGTTTCTTTTGTATCATAATCACGGAGTGTCAATTAGCCCAACATCAGGCGTCCAAATGAACTTTACGAAGCGTACGATAAATTAGGATATCATCAAGTACTGTACTGTACATATTGTGCCGTGAACCTGCTAGCACCTTTAGCCTAGCCGGTATGATATAAAGCGACAGTTTAGATCCCAGCGTGGGTGCTGGAGAGTGGGGAGCTGGAAAAAGGAAAACCTACCCCGCGTCCTCGGATCTGTGATCAACCTCCGGCGTTGTAGATAGGAGTATCGTAGATCCGCCCCGGCTCTGCATCGGTAGCGCTGACGATGCCCTCACCCCCCAGTTCCCTCGGTTACTGTACATGGCAATCCTCTAGCTCCAGCGGACTAGGGTTTCTAAAAAACGGCTCGCCATATGTCTGATTGACTTAGCAGCACTTTGAACTCCTATGGAAATAGACGCCATTACTTAACTCAATAGGAAACTTTATGGCGCTGGATACTGTTTTCGGGTGTTGTACCTTACTTTGTAGCCGTACTTTATTGTACGGTATTTTCAAAACAACGTTTAACGCGCTAAGCGAGAGATGCAATATAAAGAAAAGCGGGAGGTTTATGGAAAGGTGTAGAGAGGTGTCATATCAACTAGAGGTAGGGAGTGCTATTTTGGCATGCTGTATTACCATATGGACCAGATGCCACACTACTTCTGCCCGAACGAGGCGTCAATATATTGCAACGCGAGATCCGATTCCTCAAGATGCCCCGAGCCGGGAATGCGCGTGGTGGGTACTTCTGGAAAACACCACGGAGGAGCTTGAGCACACCCCCACAGCGTTGGACAACTTATGGGAAGAGCGTATGAATAGTAGCCCTTTCTTTCGCAGGTTTTCATCCCTAGGGTGCCTCTCGTGCGTGGGTCTACCGGCAGCACAGGAACTGCTGCCTTTGAGTGATGGGAGGGAGGAGAGTGGGGTGAGATGGGAATAGGGGAGGGCGGCTCCATACCGTGGGTGGGTGACCCATTACACATGTAAATAGCTAGCAACTAAAATTGCACTCCTATGAGTTATCTGCGATTACCAAGTACTAATAAACTTTCCCTTTTTAGAAAATAGAGCTCTTGCACCGCCGATGCTTGGCTCAATGGATACTTGGGGGTCTTGTTTGCAGAAGATCCAGATCCAATATATATTAGACGATGCTATACCCGAGGCATGGCGGTAACTTTATATTGAAGTTCCATAGAGAATCAGTACTCATACTGATACCATCTTAGTTGACAACTCCGTATTTTGCACTACCCTATCCCATCATGAGCTCCACTACTCGGATAACGCAATACAGGAAGAAGAAAAGGAAGATAGGAAGAGGAGAAGAAAAAACATCTGGTGAGAAATGGACGGATGTGGAGGAATAGAAGATGTAAGGGAAGACGTGGGATGTAAACCAAGGGAACCGAAATAAGCATAAGAATAGTACCAGAATTAAACAGCTCTTGAGGAATAATGGTGGGACAAGATAGACAAAAAGTAGGAGAAAAAGAGTGGCCAGTCTGTAATAATTGTAGCTAACATCCATAGCATTAATTGTAACACCGTGGTTCTTCTGGGGTGTGTTTAAGGGCTCTTGCAAGGCATCATGGGGAGAATTTGATCGTAGCTTCGGGCTGTCACTATTGAACGAGTCGGGGATAATCCCTTCCACAGGAGTGTTGCATGACAAGGTACCAGCCGGGAAGGGGGTTTTCTCATACGAGGGCTCTGGGATTTTGGGGCCAACGCTCAGCCGCTCCTGGACCAGTTTCACTATGTCCTTGTGTCCATTCTTAGTGGCCCACATGAGTGGCGTTTGGCCGTCGTTGTCAGGACTGTTGGGGTTCACATCGTTTCGTTCAAGGAGGAGCTTCGCCATACTGCCACGCCCCAACTCGGCCGCCCACGAGAGAGGCGTTCTGCCTTGGCTATCAGGGGAGTCAGGTTTGACATCCTTGCGTTGGAGGAACAGTTTAACAATGCTCGGTTTACCGCTATTAGATCCACCGAATGGTGGGAAAAATATACTTTCGTCCGAGGGGTGGCCGGCGGTCCAAGAGAGTGGTGTCCGGTTGTCCCTATCTGATAAGTTGGGATTGACTTCCCTCCGGTCCAGTAGCAGCTCTACTATACCATCGCAACCTTGCCTGGCCGCCACCAACAGTGGCGTCCGGCCATGCTCATCGGATAAATTGGGATTGACTTTCTTGGATTGGAGGAGGAGCTTTACTATACCCCGATGCTCATTCATCGCCGCCCAAGCAAGTGGTGTTCGGCCCTTTTTATCCGGTTTGTCGGAGTGGACTTCATTGAGTTTGAGGAGCATGTTCACAACGCCCTCATGTCCGCCCGCGGCCGCTATCGAGAGC